GCCAAACGTGACATCAAAGAGGATCTCCTAAAACGGGCCACTGATCTGGAAAAGGCCGGTCAGGACTTCAGTAAGAAGCTCAGGGATGAGGGAAAGAAAGTGGAGGCAGACGTAGTGGACAAGGAGGGAGAGAGAGAAAGAGAGACTAATTACTAAACATTAAGTAATTATTTTGTTAATTAACATAATTTTTAAATAATTAAGTGAGACTTACAATAAATGAGCCCAATTAATGCTAAAACTATAAAAACTTTCATTTTTATAATAATTTAATAAATAGTTTAAATAAAAACAATTTGATATAATCTACATGCTATTGTACTGTTGTATTTATAGTTTCAAATACTATGATTGAACATGTTTTATTAATATAGAATTTAAGCTTAATATTTGAAATTATAAAATGTATTTAGACTTAAATTATTTATAGATTTTAAAAACTAATAATTAAAAATACTGTATGTAATATACAATATAATGCTTTGCATACAATTTAAAAAGTTTATAATATTTTATAAATGATTTATGCTAAAGTTACATTCCAAAAAGTTAAAATTAATTATTATTAATATTTTATTATTTGGCAACAAAACTAATTTTGCAAAAAATATAATTTGATAATATACCATTTTTTTATTATTATTTAGAAATTATTTTAGAAGTTTTGTAAAGTATATTTAAATTAAAGTAAACATGATATTTAATATTCTAGTCTAAAATTTGAAATGCTTTTATATTCATAATGGTAATGATAGATAATGTTACCATGGTAATAAGCTATTATTAATGTGTGCTAGGCTAAAATTAGTTTACAATGTGCAATTCTATTTATCATTATGCACTGGTCCATAAATATGAGTTTATTTATTTTGTAATGGGATATTTAAATTCAAGGATTGTTATCCTAAAAAAGTTTAAAACTTTTGTAATATTGCATATTTCATGTTAGTATATAACATAAATTTATAAGCTATTACAATATAAACATTATCAATAACCAATAAGTAAAACAAATCAAATTTCTAAAATAAAAAATTATATCCCGTAAACAAAATATTTTTGAAATGATTATTATGTAACCATAGTGGTTATTACTATAAAATCATTGTATGGCAAAAGTAGTATTACGTTTGAAATTATTTATTTCTAAGTTATTTAGTATATTAAACATAAGTTTTGTTAAAATAATGTTTTAGTAAATGATATTTGTGAATGTTTAAATAAATAAACTATAGACATAGCCATACGGTATTTTATTTAAATCATAAGTTTGCAACAAATTAAGTAATGTAACATTCACCTAAATAATTACTAAATAATTGTAAATATATTTTATTATTTTTATTAACAGGGACAGTATCATGGAGCAGGACAATCCACGTGCCAACTATATTATTAATTTCTACAACTTTATTAATAATATAAACTTGTCACATAAATTCATGCAACTACTACAATCACATCCATGTGCTTATATGCTTAATTATAATCAGGTAAATAAATAATTTAATAATAATTTCATTAATAATAAGTCATAACTAATAAGTAAATTAGTAATTTCATAATAATTTTTACGTTAAAAACTTAGTATAACTTATATTACTTATAACTTATAACTATATAATATATATATATATATAACTTATATTAACTTAATATAATACTAATAATAAAAAGATTTATTAATCATATCTATAAATTATTTTGCAATCATATAGCGTAATGATAAATAAAATTAACCATACTTATAATAAACTAAATATTTATTAAATGTTGCATCTATCAACTTTTTTATTTTAAATTTTTAAATATGTTTTGTCTATTAGCTATTCACGGATGAGGCTAAGAAGGTGTTTATGTTTTTGGAGTTCACGAGAGACAGGGATCCATGCAATAAGCTGGCTGAAATATTGACCGAGTCGGGGCAATCGGGTGCCGCCCAACAGCTCCGGGAGTATAATAGGTCGGAACAGCCCATGCCATACCAAGATCAAATTAACCTAGATGTTAACCGGGCTATTATTTTGCGCTCAGCCACCACACGATGGTAAGTTATAATAATTAGTTAATTTAGTTAGTTATTATAAGTTTTATAATATAAAGTTATCTATTTGGTTTATAAAAAATGTGTAAAAAAAGTTAAAATACTTTTGCTGTTAATTTATTTAATAGCAATAAATTAAAAGTAAATTAAAGTACAAAATAAATTTTAAAATATGTACCAGCAAGTTTATAGTTATTTACTAGTATAATTTTGCTATTATATAATACTAGCAATTATGGGCTAATAATTTCAAGCTATCCATTCATTAATTGAGTTAAATACCCTATTAAAATTAGCTAGCTTATAATAATAATAATAAAATAAAGCTATTTAATGTTATAAAATTTAAATTACAAATATTTTTAATAACAATTTATTATTATTATACTGTAATGCAGGTATAAAATGGACTCCAACCCCCGTGGTAGAGCTGTCATATTTGTCCAGGATATAAAATACACAAACGAGCCTATAGTGGTCAACCTGGACAACGAGGGATTAAGATTCAAGCACATTTTCGATCAGCTAGGTTACGACACTCAGATCCACATGCGAAAATCTTGCACCGAAATAATGAGCATACTAATTGAGTATGCTACTTCCGAACACCCTGGTGACTCATTCATTATGATGTTCACCGGGCACGGATTTAACGGGAATATATGTGGCAATGACAATTACGAGCATGATGTCTTACCCATACAAAATGTACTGGATCTGTTTTCTGAGAAAAATTGCTTGGCATTACAGAGCAAGCCTAAAGTGTTCCTGTTCAATTGTTGCCGAGAAAGTATGTAATTAATTGGTAATTCAA